AACAGTAATTTCAATTGATACAACTAGGGAAATGCAATAAAGACCGAAATAATACTGTTCGACAAGTATCATTATCCTTGTCCCTTCAAAATGAAGAAGGAATGGTCTAATTATAAGCCCTGCACCATTCACTGGATGATTGGGGGCAATGATAAATTGTTCTGGTAATGGTTGAAGGGGGGCGGGGAGGGCTACGATATTTTGCCTGTCTAATATCGGTAGCATTAGAAAATTTCATTAGTACCCACTTCCCAATTTCCACCTCCTCCCCCTCCTTGCTAATGTCTGACAAGTACCTTATTTCGGTCTTTATTGCATTTTTTTTTAATTGAAACTAAGGTTGTTCCGACCATTTTCCAAAAAATAGACTGCCTGACGTTTAGTTCTGGGAGGGCCTGACGTTTAGACACTCCGAAAAATATAGAAACTGTAACCAAAAAATGTTATGTATCTGTTAACAATGCTATGCACATGTAAATAATTAGAAAAGTATGAGCACAGGACGCACCATTTGAAGCAATAACGCATGTKGTATCCTGAGGGTTTGATTGTGAAGCTCTGTCAGGCCAGTTGTTGCTCCCTATGGGGTTAGTATACAKATCTGGGTTTTGAATGACSKYCGAATAGATAAGCTSATKCCCAAGGCAGGTAAAAGACKTTTGCTTTTGAGAAGCGTCCATGTTACCATAAAGAACTCCAAACTGACCAACAATGGCGTAGTTGTTAGATGGTGTTGTTATGGTAGTCTTGATAAGAATAAGCGTTAGACCATTACAGTTCTTTATCTTTGTCTTAGCAACGCCTAACACCTAAAGAAACAAAAAATATATATCCAGATCTAAACAAGAAAATATCTATTTATACTTGTGTATATTATATGTATTGCATTTCCGAGTTATTATATATAGGGAAGTGGATTGTACTTATGTACAAGATTCATTAACTTGTGTTTTACAGGCAAATCAAAAGAAAAGAAAAAGAAAGAAACAGAATATTATGGATACATAATTTGATCTTTTAAAAAATAGACTGCACATCTACGAAAACGCTGTGACCAGAATCCAATTGACATCGTAGACGCTGCTGTGTGATCTACACCAAAAATCAGCAATTATACCTGGTTCATAATGACATCTGCCTCTCTCTGTTGTAGTTGCAGTATTGATGGACCAACATTATAGTAAATAGTGACAGTATTTTGCCAGCAATTGGTCGCGTCAGCAGCCACTGAGGTAGTAAAAGATGATCTTAACTCAAAATCATTTCAAATTTGTGAGTAATAAA